TCCAAAAGTCTACAAGCAATAAATGCTGGAGAGGGTGTGGAGAAAAGGGAACCCTCTTACACTGTTGGTGGGAATGCAAACTAGTACAGCCACTATGGAGAACAGTGTGGAGATTCCTTAAAAAACTGGAAATAGAACTGCCATATGACGCAGAAATTCCACTGCTGGGCATACACACCGAGGAAACCAGATCTGAAAGAGACACGTGTACCCCAGTGTTCATCGCAGCACTATTTATAATAGCCAGGACATGGAAGCAACCTAGATGTCCATCAGCAGATGCATGGATAAGGAAGTTGTGGTACATATACAAAATGGAATATTACTCAGCCATTAAAATAATGCATTTGAATCAGTTCTAATGAGGTAGATGAAACTGGAGCCTATTATACAGAGTGAAGTAAGCCAGAAAGAAAAACACTAATACAGTATACTAATGCATATATATGGAATTTAGAAAGATAGCAACGATAACCCTGTATGTGAGACAGCAAAAGAGACACAGATGTAGTGAACAGTCTTTTGGACTCTGGGAGAGGGTGAAGGCGGGATGGTATGGGAGGATGGCATTGAACCATGTAAATTATCATACGTGAAACAAATCACCAGTCCAGGTTCGATGCATGATACAGGGTGCTCGGGGCTGGTGCAGCAGGATGACCCAGAGGGATGGGATGGGGAGGGAGGTGGGAGGGGGTTTCAGGATGGTGAACACATATAACCCATGGCGGACTCAAGTCAATGTATGGCAAAACCAATACAATATTGTAAAGTAAAAAAAATAAAAATAAAAATAAATAAAATGTTCATAGCAAGAAATCACAAACCATACCATTATTTTGTTTCTTGGTTTTTGTATTGATTAACATGGACAACCCTTCAACAATTAGTCCCATTTAGTAATTAGACCACTTCGTATTTTTGAAACATTGCAGTTTAATGTTGGCTAGTTACTAATTTTATATGCTACTTATTAATATGAATGCTTTGTTCATAACTTTTCTAAATATTTTTAGTGTATACTACAGTAATGATGATTTTTAATTTCTCCCCCACAGATAAAGCAAGTTTTCAATTTTGTTTACCATTCTCATTGCTATAGTTCATCAGCATGCCACAAAAGACAGTCAAGAGCTTCTCACTGGCGGGATCTGTTTTACTGCACAGTGACCTTAAATGGTCAACTACAATCTGTGCACCACCTGCTTGGTCAACTGCACTTCTGCCCTCATCTGTAAAACAAAGAGTCAAATTAAAAATAAAAGTAAAAAGAAATATACCTTAAAATTTCAAATACAAAACATAACAGAGTTATTCCTTATTTAGTACGCAGAAAATAAACCAAAGTAGGGCATCAAATGTCTTCTTAGAAAGCAAAACAAAACAAATAAACATGGAAATGGGGGTGGGATGGGGAAGAGAGGCAATCACTTTTTAGGAGAAAAAAGATTATTCTCCTTGGTATCATACAGGAATTTAAAGAACTTCTCTGGGTCTTAAGACTTTATGACTGATGTGAAATTTTTCGCCTTCTCTTTCACAAATGACAACTCTGTGTAAAAGGAAAAAAACTGGAACTAAAATTTGATTGGAATTTTTTTCTCAGTTTGGAAACCACTAAATGTGTCTTTCTCAGTGTTTTCAAAGTCAGTTACTATCAAAGACAACCATCTGCAGTATAGCGTAACTCTACATTACAATATGTAATTTCTAAAGATTAGTACTAGGGTCTTTTTACTGGCATTTTCTATAGTACATATTTCCTTTTCCAATTCTTAGTAGTTTGCATTTCATTTTTCCTTATTCTCTCCATTCAAGAACACACCAATACACTTAGACATTACAATCAATGGTCAAACGGTCAAACACACCTTCTGCTATATATACATCTACATCACATAGAAGAGATACCATTTAACTGTCAGAACATAGATATCACTTTAAAATACTTTTGCAAACCCTGAACACAGAATTAGAAAGAGATGAAAGAAAGAATATGTATTTCTAAATCTGACTTCCTTATATAAAATATGATATACTCTAGAACAGTGCATACAATAAAAATGAGAGCCACAAATGTGAACTAAATAAATAATTTAAATTTACAAGTAGCCATATTAAAAACATAAAAAGTGAAAAATTAGTTTTAGTTATATGTTTTACTCAATCCAAAATCTCTAAAATATGATCACTGCAATACACAATAAAATTGCTAGTGAAATATTTTACATTCTCATCTTAGTAATAAATCTTTGAAAGCCAAGTGTATTTTATATTTTACACTACAGTTACATGTCTATTTAGACTAGCCACATTTCAATAGCTCAAGAGTCAAACCTGGATAGTGGCTACCATACTGAATTGTGAAGCCATAGAAGCATACAAAAGGATCAGTAAAAGAAATGCCTCAAAAAAAAAAAAAAATACTGCTATGAAATTAGTAAATGAAATCTAATAAAAGAACTGAAACTAAGATGTATCTTTATAACTGTTGCTGAATCATAATAGAAAATGAAACAATACATATCATTTCCTGTGGCAGAAATACACACACAACTTACATAGCAGGACTTCATAATATTTGAAAATTTTAAGGAAATCTGTACTAAAATGAAACAAAATAGTTGTGTTCACTTAAGTTTTGTGTCATGCCCACTTGGCTTCACTGTACTGTTATATAGATGCAGAAAAGGACCCTATGCTAATCAGCTAATAAGATCACAGAAAATTCTTCAGTGCCAGAGTAACTAACTAGTCACATGAGGCAGCCAACTATAATACATATCTCATTTAGAGTTTCCTTTTCCAATAACATAAATGCAAATTATCTACATTGTTGGGCAATTTGTATGCAGATCATGTCAGAAAAAAACTAAATATCAGGATGACAAATCTAGCTCAGACCTTCAATATTATGCACATACAGTATCTGTTCTTGTTTAGTCACTAACTCATGTCCGACTCTTGCAACTGCATGGACTGTAGTCTGCCAGGATACTCTGTTCATGGGATTTCCCAGGCAAGAATACTGGAGCAGGTTGCCATTTCCTTCTTCAAGGGATCTTCCTGACCCAGGCATTGAACCCACATCTCCTTCATTGGCAGGTGGATTCCCTACCACTGAGCCACCTGGGAAGCCCACATATACAATATACCCATCCCTAAATTGCAAAGTTCAAGTCGTTTTTGATTCTAACTGTTGCATAAGTATAGACTTTCAAAACATAAATTGTGTGTGCTTAGAAAGCTAAGCTGGCTTCCTTTTGATATTCAGGTACTCAATATTCAAAACATTAAATTCAAGAAATTTTAATACAAATTGTGTTCATCAAATTCAGTAATGCAATAAGTAAGAACATAACTACAATTAAAAGGCAAATTACCTACTTGTGTTTCAGGGCCAAAGTAATTTTCTTCCCTTCCTCTGCTTTCCTTCTTCCCCTTCCTCCCAGCCTGCCCTGTTTGCACTGTGTACAACATAGCTATGTGTTATCAAGAGTTGGGGCTGCAGAGTGTAAGCTCAATCTCTACCTTAGAAATTACAGCATTACCAAATTTAAGAAAAGCACATATAAAATATCTGAGTTAAAGAGAATTTTATTAAAGAATCCAAAGATGCAAAGAAACAAGAATGCTGTATCCATTTACTCTATCAAAACCAGTGGATAAGTTTTTAAAGGCATCTCACAAATTATTTAAAATATATATTAGAACATGTCATTACACAAGTCCATTCAAATTGTTTTTCCACAGTAAAGGTAGCTCTATAGCTTTATGCTATGATATTAAAATGAGTATTATTATCGTTCACTTGAAAATAACTTTCAAAAGATTCCTTAACCTAAACTTTCATATCCCTGAATGCAGGCTCATTTTTAACTCTCTGAAATTAAGCACCCTGTGTTGTCACTTCTAGAAATATAATTTACATTTTTATTTTACATAAATCTAAGTATCCAACCACTACCCAGCAACTCTTTAAGCCCTGCTACATCGTCTAGTCAAGGCTACGGTTTTTCCAGTGGTCATGTATGGATGCGAGAGTTGGACTGTGAAGAAAGCTGAGCGCCGAAGAATTGATGCTTTTGAACTGTGGTGTTGAAGAAGGCTCTTGAGAGTCCCTTGGGCTGCAAGGAAATCCAACCAGTCCATTCTAAAGGAGATCAGTCCTGGGTGTTCATTGGAAGGACTGATGCTGAAGCTGAAACTCCAATACTTTGGCCACCTCATGTGAAGAGTTGACTCACTGGAAAAGACCCTGATGCTGGGAGGGATTGGGGGCAGGAGGAGAAGGGGAAGACAGAGGATGAGATGGCTGGATGGCATCACCAACTCGATGGGCATGAGTTTGAGTAAACTCTCGGAGTTGGTGATGGACAGGGAGGCCTGGCGTGCTGCGATTCATGGGGTCGCAAAGAGTCAGACGCGACTGAGAGACTGAACTGAACTGAAATGAACATTCTTTAATGTTGACTTGTCACAGAGAGTAGCTTCCAGCACAAATAAGTGCTTACGTAAGAGTAGGGCTTTATGCAGTAGGGCTAATGAAATACTGCACTTGATATTACTCTTCAGTTCAGTAGTGAAAACCAGGAAGCAATGAAATTTGTATGCCTCACAAATGAGAAAAAAATGTGAGCAAGTTGGTATTCCACTATCAGGTACAAATTATGCACTAAGGCTGAGGAAAGAACCTGAAAACAACCGCTGAATACAAGCTCTGTGACATGCTACAGTATATCCTACTTTCAGATTTGCTTGTATACTGTGGCTAAACTGGTAAAGAATCTGCCTGCAAAGCAGGAGATCTGGGTTCAATCCCTAGGTTGGGACGATCCCCTGGAGAAGGGAATGGCTACCCACTCCAGTATTCTGACCTGGAGAATTCCATGGACTGTATAGTCTATGGGGTCGCAAAGAGTTGGACAGGACTGAATGACTTTCACTTCACTTTCCCAAATGCCTCATAGATAGTAGGCACTCAATATGTACTGAATGAATGAGGCCTTAGGCTACATTTTGGTAAGTTACAATTCACCTTGGGGATGGGAGAGTGAGAGAAAGAGAAAGAGGGAGGAGGCAGGGAAAGGGAGAGAAATGGGAATGAAAATCATTTACTTCTTTTTTAATGATTAAACCACAATATGGTTTAGCTTCCCTTGTGTTCTGAGCTTTGCTTAAATGAAACCATGTTGTATTCATTCTTTTTGTGCCTTCTTATACTGAACAGTGTGTTTATGATATCCATCTACTCTGTTACATGCTTCTTTGCTGTACAATATTCACTGTATAAACACATCATATTTATTTATTCCTTTGCTGATTATTATTTGGGTTGTTTTTAGGCTTGGGCTATTATTTGTAACATCCAGGTGGTATTGTTGGTTCATATACTCTGCACATCTCCCACTTGTTAAGATAATGACAAACAGGCTTCCAAAGTCAGCGCACATTCCCTCCATCAGTGTGTGAGTTACTGTCCCCTCACTCCTTCACTACCACTGGCATTCCACTTGATTGTTAACAGGATTGTCAACTTGATTAATAATCTACTGTTAGATCAACATTCAACTTGATTGTTAAATCTGATGGGTGAGATTGAACCTACTGCAGAATATACAAAGCAGGTCTTTGCTGACAGCCGACTTTTCCATACATTTAGTAAGACAGACAATTCAGTTCAAGAGTTTATAGCATGTGCCTAGAGGTAAAAACAGTTCACGCTGAGGGAGGGAGAGAGATATAAATGGATGCATACACAGATATCAGAATTTGAAAGAAAATGAAAAGAGCCAAGTAGCTGGTAGAAGCAGACTATCAAGCCTATGTACTAATTATGACTGGATAGGCACAATTCTCGAACTTTTTAACACTCTTGCTTATAGAAAGCCTTACTATAACATCAGCAAATACACTGTCTTTTTTAAATCATTTCAATAAACACCAGTTTTCCCAAAAGAGACTTTGGAAGGCTTAAATCCTTGAAAGGACGAAGGAGGAAGATTGGGGAAGCAGGATGGTGTTGGGTTTCAAAGAAGCCTATAATTTACAATAGCAAATTTTATCTAAAATTAATTTTTAAAAGAATTTAGTTTTATAATCTAAATGTATGATTTTCATGCTACATTATACTTTTGTGGTTTAAACATTTTTTCATATTTCTTTTCAAAAATTCTCAGTATCAAATACAAATTACAAAAATCTGTTTTAAAATTATGCCTACATATACATT